CGCATCTGCTGGGCGGAGGGCCACTGTTTGATGCTCCCTGACTCATTCATCGGCATCGTAGCCCAGAGGTCGGCTTTTATTACCGTTGATCTCACCGTGGTCTTCGTCAGCAGTTTTTAAACCAATTAAATGTGTGTTCCCTTGTTCCCCATCCCTACTCTTCACCATAGGGGAATGATCTTGCATCTGCCTCTGTATTTCCCACTACGGTGCGGAACGCAGACTATCTGTATTCTTCACCTTGCACTAGCAGAGTTACGCAGGCATATTTAATTTGGATTTAAAATAGTTAATAAACAGAATAAACGTTTTAAGTCTTTTTTCATTGTTTAGCACAAATCTACATAAAGATTTACATGGAAGCCCTTTATATTATGAATTTTAATGCATCTTCTATATAATGGCAGCCTTCACTGCTAACAACAGCCTGAATGTTTGCTCAATAAATATTTATCAAGTGCCTCCTCTACTGCAAGTCCCACCAGATTCTGTGTGTAGCTTCTGCATGTAGACCAAAGCTATTGCCATTTGGGACTCAAAAACTATCTATGTCCCAGACTATGAGACTTTTCCAGTAAAGGGAATGTAATGACACCCTTACTGCTTCCTGGCTTTAGAAAGAGGCCGGCCTATAATAGGTGCTCAATATATGTTGGTTTTCCTTTCCCTTGCTCCCTTTAGGAAGTAGACCGGTGTATAGCTCCATAGGCAGGCCATTTTCAGAATCTTCCTTCTGATGGCTTCTGACCTAAACCAGAAAGTTACAGTAGAGGCCATCAGGGGAAAGGAGCAGAGTTCCAGGCTCTGAAGTCACCGTGGAGGCCATCATCAGCCAGGCAGCATTGGCACGGAGCTTGCACACTACCCCCGGGCTGTTCAGCTCCTTGTGTCCTGCCAGATTTAGCTGCATAAAACTCTTGAGAATGTGCTAAACAAACACCGAGCTAGTGCAAACAACTTTTTGTTAAATAAACAGCTTCATTGGGACATCATTCATATATCATACAATGTACACATTTAAGGGTACAATTCAATGGCTTTTGGTATATTCATAGATACCTCCCAGCATCACTATAGTCAACTGTAGAGTATTTTCACCACCCCCCAGTAGAAACCACACATACCCGCTAGTTATCATCTCTTTACCCCTAACTCCTATGCAAACACTGCACCTTTTGGCTATCATCTCCTGTACCCCCAAGCAAACACTAAGCTACTTTTTGTCTCTATAGATTTGCCTATTTTGGACATTTCATATAAATGGGATCATTTAATGTGTGGTTTTTATAGCTGATTTCTTTTACCTAGTACTATGTATACTGTTTTAAGGTCCATTTACATGGTAGCACGTACCAGTCTTTCATTCCTTTTTATGTTTAAATAATATTCCATTATACGGATATATCATATCTTTTTTTTCATTCACTAGTTGATAGTCATTTGGGTTGTTTCTCCCTTCTGGAAGTTATGAGCAATGTTGCTGTAAAAATTCACGTACAAGTTTCTATGTAGACATATGTTTGGGGGTATATACCTAGGAGTGTCACTGCTGGGTCATGCGGTAGTTCTACTTTAAGCATTTGAGGAAGCAGCAGGCTGTTTCCCAAAGTGGCTGCACCATTTCACATTCCCACCAGCAGTGAGAGCCAGTTTCTCTGAAGTGTCACCAGTATTTGTTACAATATTACCTGACCCTTTGATTATTACCATCATAGTAGGGATGAAGCGGTGATTTGATTTAATTAGTGATGTGGAATATTTTTCGTGTGCTTATTGACCATTTGTACACCTTTTTGGAGAAATGTCTAGTCAAATCCTTTGACCGTTTTTAAATCAGGTTGTCTTTTTATTATCGAGTTGTAGTAATTCTAAATAGAGCCTAGATATGAGTCTCTCATCAGGTAGACACATATGTAATTTGGGGATATTTTCCCCCAATTTGTGGGTTGTCTTTTCACTTTCTTAACGACGCCTTTTGAAGCACAAACGTTTTTAATTTTGATGGGATCCAATTTATCTGTCTGGTATCAAATCTAAGCATACTCTGTCAAATCCAAGGTCATGAAGATTGAACCCCTATGTTTCTTTTATGAGTTTTATAGTTTTTGCTCTTACGTTCAGGTTCTCAATTCATTTAAAATTTCTGTATATGTTTCACTCTTTTGCATGTGGCTACCCAATTGTCTCTGGACCATTTGCTGCAAAGACTATTCTTTTCCCCCACTGAATGCTCTTGGCCCCTTTACATGGTTTTATTTCTGGACTGTGAATTATTTTCTACTGATCTAGATGTCTATGCATATGCCAGCACCACACTATCATTTTTTTCCCACCAGTGACACTGGCTTTATTTACTTAACAACCTTTTAATTGATGCATAATAAATGTACATGGTTGGGGGGGTACGTATGATAATTTGTAAAAATTCATATAATTTGTAAGGATCAAATCCATGTACTTGGGGATATTCATCACCTTAAATATTTGTCTTTTCTTTGTGCTGGAAATATTCATATTATTCTCTTCTAGCTATTTTGAAATGTACAATAGGTTATTGTAAACTATAGTCACCCTATGGATCTATCAAACACTCGGTTTTATTTCTTCTATCAAACTGTATATTTGTACCCAATAACCAACTTCTTTTCATCTCCCTCCTCCTTACCCCTCCTGGCCTCTGGTGACCAATCAACTCTTTATGAGATCCACTTTTTTACCTCCCAATATGAGCGAGAAGACGTCATTTGACATAATGACCTCCCACACGCTCTCGATTACCATTGCTTTGTAGTAAATTTTGAAATCAGGAAGTGTGAATTCCCTCCTTTGTTTTCTTTTTCATGATTGTTTTGGCTATTCTGTGTCCCTTGAAGTTTCATCTGAGTTTTGGAATCAGCTTGTTAAGTTCTATAAAGATATCAATCGAGAATCTGACAGAGATTGTGTTGGATCTGTAGATCAATTTGAGGAATAGTGTCACCTGAACCATAAATATTCTGATTCATGTACATGGGATTCTTTTCGGTTTGTTTGTATTTTCTTTAATTTCTTTCAACTATGGTTTATAGTTTTCAGAGTATAAGTTTGAACCTCTTATGTTTTATTCCTATTTCATTTTTAATGCCATTATAAATAGAATTGTTCCTTTAATTTTTGTAATTGTTCTTTGCAAGTGTACAGAAAGACAATTGGTTTTTGCCTTTCTCCTTTCCCTTCCCTTCCCTTTTCTTTTCTTTTTCTAATCACCCCGGCTCGAACCTCCAGAATAACATTAATATAAGTAGCTAGATTTAATATGTGTAGACCACATTCTTCTCTTGTTTCTGATCTCGGGAGGACAGCATCCAGTGTTTCACCATTAACAATGATGTTAGCTGTAGGTAGTTCACCGATGACATCTGTCAGGTTGAGGAAATTCCCATCTAGTCCTGGTTTGTTGAGTAATTTTTATCATGAGGAGTGTTGGATTTTGTCAAACATTTTTGTGCATCTATTGAGATGATTATGTGGTCTTTGTTTTCTTTAAATTATGTTATTGTGGTATTATATTACATTAACTGGTTTTAAAATGTTAAATCAATCTTGCATTTCTGGAATAACTCCTACTTAGTCATGGTATGTATGTCTTTTTCACATGTTGCTGGATTCAGTTTTGCTCATGTTTTGTTGGCGATTTCTTCATCGATATAAATAAGAGAAAACGATCGATAGTTTTCTTGTGATGTGTCTGTCTGGCTTTGGTGTCAGGGTAATACTGGCCTCATAGAATGAGTTGGGAAGTATCCCTTCCTCTTCTATTTCTCTGAAGAGTTTGTTAAAAATTAGCATTAATTTTTCTGTAAATGTCTGGTAGAATTTACTGTGATGACTGTGAAGTCATCTGGGCTTGGGTTTTCTTTGAGGTACTAGTAATAGTTTTTTGAGTATTAATTTAATCTCGTTATTTATTGTAGGTCTACTCAAACTGTCTATTTTTTCTGGAGTCAGTTTTAATAGTTTATCAATTTTATCTAATCATCTAACTAACTGGCATACAGTTGTATATAATACAGACCGTTTCTGACTTAAAATGGTTAGCCTTATGATTTTTTAATTTTATGGTGGTATGAAAACAATGCACATTCAGTAGAAACTGTATTTCGAGAACCCATGCAATAGCTCTGTTTTTCAATTTTAGTACAGAAAAAAACGCCCCCATAAAAATAAACAACAAGAACAACCAAAAATCAAACATAAAACACCATTTGGCCGCAGATATAGCTAACAGAGTTCATTCAATAAGCGGCAAGGTTGAGCTTTGAAAGTATAGAAGGTCCAGATTTACCTGGGGCCTGGGGGCTGAGGACAAGGTCAGCAGACCCGTCAGGGCCTCTACTCCCCTGCACTTTAGATCGGCTCTTTAGCTCTCACGGGAAGGGTTCTGGGAGGACGACGGGGCTGTCCAGATCAGCACTTGCTCCCCTGGCCGCTAGCTGTGTGGTGGCGGGTGGCTGCCCTCAGGTGTATCACGACTGAAAGTGTGGGGAGAAAGCACTGTGGTACCTGCATCCCCACCCAGACCAAAAGTCGTTTCTCCTGCCTCTGGGGTGTTGTGACTCCTGCTTGTTCTCCCAGGGCAGTCCTGGGCCAGGTGAGGGAGATAGTGGCGGGCAAGAGAGGGGAGCAGAGAGACTTACAAGCCAACAGAGGCTGCCTGGGGGGACAGGCGAATGAGGGAGAAAGACCTTGGTTTGGGTTTCATTTTTCAAGCCATCGTAGCCAAAATAATCACTTTTCCCTCTAAATGTGGAGGAGCACATCTCGGAATTCCTACTAAAATATGCTCCCTATACTGAGAGGTGTGCTGTTGGGAATTATGCGGTGGGGTTCACTCTCCTCGCCTCCCCTCCTACCAGACAGTGAGACTGAGCTGCCAGGGACGGCTTTGCCTAGACCCAGGGTCAGGCAGCTCCCCCAGCTGCTCTCTGATCTCTGCTTCTCTGCCCCGCTTTCTTGCTTAGCCAAGACTCTGACCGCTGAAGAGTGCCTGGTGGACCCTGCGGGCATGAGCCGCTCTGGCGTGGACCCCTCTGCCGTCGCCTTTCACCACCGGGGCTCCCTGCCCCCCTCTTCCTCGCTGTACTGCAAGAAGCAGAACTCTGGAGACGGCCACCTTGGGGGAAGCTCTGCCACCACCACTGGTGGTCCCCGCACCGGTCCCAGGACCTCTGAAGGCCCCCCAGCACTTGGGCTGAGGCCCCCAGCCTCCGGCCTCAAGAGAAACGGGACCGATCTTGAAGGAAACAAATGTGGTAACGTAACGCTTGCGCCAGCCGCCCCACTTAACCTTCCTCTGCTCTTTCCCTGGGGACAGTATAAGGGGAGGGGAGTGTGCCTGGGTAACACGGGACCACCAGGAAGCTAGAAGTTTCCACAAGCGCCTTCATGGATTTTTGTTGTTCTTACAAAACAGCCAATCTCAACCTTTGAGGATAAGTAAAGAAAATAATGTATTAGGGTAGGCCAGGCAATAGGAATAAGTAGACACTAAAATGTACACAGGTTCAAGTTTTTGTTCAAGTGTCCAGGGCAAAGGCCAGATGCAATGGCTCACACCTCTAATCCCAGCAGTCTGGGAAGCCCGAGTGGGTGGATTACCTGAGCTCACCAGTTGGAGACCAGAGGGAGCAAGAACGCGACCTCATCTCTAAAAATAGCCGGGCTTTGTGATGGCACCTGTAGTCCCAGCTACTACTTGGGAGGCTGAGGCAAGAGAATTGCTTGAGTCTAAGAGTTTGAGGTTGCGGTGAGATCTGACTCTGAAGCACTCTACCAAGGGCTACAAAGTCAGACTTTGTCTCAAAAAAAAAGAAAAGCGTCCAAAGCAGATGGACAGAATACTTTAGGGACCCAAGCTCTGTGCATTTTGTGGCTCTGCCATCTCCTACAACCTCCTTGCCCCATCTAGTGAATAGAACGGGGAAGAGGAGGTGGAGAAGGCACCCTGCCTCCCTGCAGTGACGCACACCACTTCTAATCACTTCCCATTGGCACGAGTTGGTCATTTTGCTGCATTGAACTGTAAGAGTGTCTGGGAAGCTAGCTCTGTGCGTAGGAAAGGGAGAGTCAACTTTGGTAAAGAATCGTCTCTTGCATAATGGGTGACACTTGCAGGATACAAAGACACAGGCAGAAGCAGAGTGCAGCAAAGTCCCCACAGTGCTGGCTCTAACACAGAGTCATCTGCCCACTGGAGAAAACGTGTTGGAATACAGTCCATGGAGGTGTTAGAGTTCTATGGACTATCGAATTGGCTTGGAGGCCACTGTGATAGATGTTTTAAAAATTTATTTTCAGTATTTTGCTCATGAATAGAATGGAGGCCATGGAGTCTCGTGGATAACTGACAGTGTAATTTCTTACGAGTCTTAAATGCTCTGTGCCTCAGTTTCGTCACCTTTATAATTGGGATAATAATAACAGCAGCACCTGCCTCACAGGATCATTAGGAAGATGAAGTAAGCTCACATATGCATTTAGCATAATAAATGTTAGTACACAGAGCAGATCACTGTAACACATCATCAACAGATCACAGCCCATCAGCTCCGCATCAGAGCTGCTAAGAAAAGGAGCTCCCAGGCTGGGAGGCAGGGGGTCTTCCTCTTGCCGGGCTGGCTTTGTGGGCTGGCTTTGTCTTCTTTGGCAAGCCACTGAGCCCTGGATATTCCCACCAGTGCTCCCGACAAGCCTTGCATGAGCCTCTACACAGAGACAGGGAGGAGCACCTCCTTGGGAAGCTTCCCCTGGCTGAGGAGGGAGGAGCAGGGCCCCTTGGTGGGTGAGGGGAGACTCTGAGGGGCAAAGCACAGATTCTCTCAGCCAGGGAAGCTCCTGCCAAATGAAGAGGCACCTGCAGGCCAGGCCTGGACATTGCCATGCAGGGTCATCAGCAGGCAGAGGAAAAGTGGGCAGAATACATTTTCCTAAAGAGAGAGACCTTGTCCCCTCTGACATTGTTTCAATGTCTTTTATTTCTTTTCTTTTTTTGAGATGGAATCTCACTTTGTCTCCCCCAGTAGAGTGCCCTGGGGGAGTCATAGTTCACAGCAACCTCTGACTCTTGGGATCAAGAGATTCTATTGTTTCAGCCTGTACCTGGGACTACAGGCGCCCACCACAATGCCTAACTATTTTTAGAGATGAAGTCTTGCTCTAGCTCAGGCTGGTCTCGAACTTGTGAGCTCAGGAGAACCACCCACCTTGGCCCCCCCAAAGTGCTGGGATTACAGGTGTGAGCTACTGTGTCTGGCCTTGTTCCAATGTCTTAAAGTAAGTGAGGGGACAAAATTTATCTCATAGGTTTGTCCCCACAGTCAGTGCTATATCTGGCCTGTGCTAGGAGTACGGTAAACATTCACCATGGATGTGCCTCCTGGTGCCCCCACCCTGGTGTCCCTCTGCCCTGTAAATGTCTCTTTCTCCCACCCTCTTCCTTCCTCGACCCCTTCCGTATTTCTCATGGTGGCAGTCACAAGACACCATGCTGACTGAGTTGACTTAGGATCCTGAGAGTGATGCCCTTTTAAAAAAGGAGACAGTTAGTCTTTCTTCCACTCATGGTGGTGAATTCCTTATGGCTTAAATGCAGGATTTCAAGCAGTGAGAGGGAAGCATGATTTGGTTGAAGAGAAAGTTTATCACTCACTCAAGGATTATCTTCTTACCTTAGTCCATTTGGTGACCTTGGGTTAGGAGAATCCGGAGCCCTTCAAGGGATCTCAGCATAGCTCCTCTGCCCCTGGTCCCTCCCTGCCTCCTTCCTGATGGGCCCAGGGATGCCCTCCAGCCCTTCACTGTCATCTACATCCTGGCCCTTTGTTTCCTGTGATTACGCCCTCACCACCCCGCAGGCACTGGCTCTGAGAAAGCAGATGGCACTTCATGAAGCCCACTTCACTGGTGAGGTCAGAGAAAAGAGCCCACCCAGGCTGGCTGCCCTCTAATCTGAGCACATCAATATGTAATATTTGAACTTTGGGTGAGACCCTGAAAATCAAAGTTGCTCATAATCAGCAGGACCTCCTGGGGCCATGGGATGTTTATGCATCACAGGGCCACCCAACCTCCTTGGAGAGAAGCCGCTCCATGGCCATTGTTGAGCTTCTGAGATACACTGAAGAAAAATGGAATTACGCACCCTTTGTAGGTGCATTACCTCTTCAATACTCCAAGGTTTCTATTCAGCCAGTACTTTCTTTAGGATGCTAAATGAAACCACAGGTACCAGAAAGAGCCAGTTAGCCATGCACATTCTCAGCAGCAAGACGAAGAGAGAGGTTTCCACTTCTGCTTACGTCTCATTGGCCGGAATTTAGTCACATGGCCACTTACTGCAAGGGAAGCTGGGAAATGTGGTTTTAACTCCACTCAACCATGATTCCAGGTAGATAGAGGGATTCTATTACAAAGGGAGAAGTGGGAAAAAATTGGGGAGGCAACAGAAGTCTCAGCCACACCTCCTGTTTAAAAATGTTCTCTCCTTCCCCTTTGTTCCCCATGGCACTTTGTTTCCTCATCTCTAGGACTTACCGTATCCCATCCTACAGAAGGGTCCAGACTCTCAGCTTCATGAGGTCTCGAACTCACATCGAGGCCCCCTGCAGCCTCAGCACACGGGGGTTGTTTGAGACCTGTGTTATACCTGTCATTTTTGGAGTACCTCCTATGGGGCCAGATCCTTTCCACACATTATTTATGATTTATTATATTTATAATTTACTATTTATAAAGAAGACAGTATTATTAGATTGAATTTAGGGTTAAAGAAAGTGAGAATCAAGAGATGGGCTATCAGGTGCTGAGCCAGGACTTGGCTTTGACTGATTCCAAAGCCTGTGTCTTTGAAAACTACACCAGGTATTTTCAAATCATGTTTGATGGATTCAAGGGATTCCTCTGCAGTTGTAGGGGATGGGGAAGAAGGGACAAGAGCACACAGGACTCCAGGCCCCCTGCCTCTCTTCAACCAGGGCCTGGTCATTTTTGCAGAGTGGGATTCTATGTGTGCTTTGCTTGAACAAAATTGGCACAGCTTAAAATGTTTGAAATCCATGGAGACAAACCATGCTGAACTGAGTGGGCAATATGCTAAAGAGGGAGAGAAAATGGCTCACCCATTCCTCACCTACCTGTCAGCCTGGCACCTGCTGTGGGCCCTCTGGAAGGCTGTGTCCCCCACCCCCTGTCCAAAGTACTGTTCAGTATTGCTCTGGAATTGCATCCCAAGTAAAAGCAGTTGTCATTAAGAAACCACTCCTCTTTAAGAGGGTTTAACCCAAGGCAGAAACTCTGGAAAAGACCTGGAAATGGATTTTCTCCCATGGTGCTAATCAAACTAGTTTAAAACCACAGAAGCCAGAAAACTGCTTCAGGCTACAGGTAGGGGGGTAAGCACTGATGACTGATGACGTGGCAAACTTCTCATCCTTCTTTCCGAGGTGATACTTCCCTTAGCCTCCTGTGGTCTTGATATATTGTACCTGTCTCCGCTGTCAGTGAGCTCTGAAGGGATGTGTTCACAGGGCACGTTCCCCGGTGTTTGCTGATGCTCTAGTGAAAAGTGGAGAGCTCCTCTCTGTCTCCCATCTAAGAGCTAGGAAGAGGTTTTGAATGGCAAAAGCCTCCCGCCTTTTGCTTTAGCAGGGCGTGCTGTAGATAGAATTCCCAGCCCCGACTAGGTCCAAAGTTCTGAATCAAGGAACAAAGTCAGTGAGACATCTGATGGGGTTTCAATCCCCTGAAGCCCCATCAGTCCTGTTGGCTGGATTTTGCTTCTGTAGAGTGTGGCATCAGGTGAAGGATAGAGACAGTCGAGCTAGAAAAAGAAGGACGAGGACAGCGCTCTATGGGAGGAGCCAGCAGGGGCACAGTTGCACCAGGAGCTGATTCATTCTGGGGAGTTTGCGCAGGGACGCTGACAAAAAGCACGCTGGAAGGTTGGGGTCCGCCCAGCAGGCTGGGCTTCACTCTGCAGTCACAGTAAACCAGACATTTCTGAACAGGGCAGTGAGAGGATGGCCATGGGGTTTAGGAAGCTGGATCTACTGGTCATTTATGAAGTGGCATAATAATAATAATAATTAGAAGAATAGTGACTACTTATGTTTAACTATTATCATTTAGGCTTTGCTACACTTTGCCATTTAATCTTTGCAATGGCTCAACAAGGTGAGGGTTTTACAAGCGAGGCATTGAGAGAGGTTTGGGCCAGTCCTCGTCAGCAGGTACCGAGCACAGTGCACCTGAGGCT